TAGGATTTATAAGGTTTTCAAATAACTCAAATGTTAGTGTTTTTTCATTTATTTTCTATAATGAAAAATCAATCCTGTGTTCGGATAAGTGCGTAAAGGAAATAATCAAGTCGATTTCTTACCTGTGCTGAAGATTAACATAAAACTTACATCCAATTATAAACATGATTAAGAAACGAATCTCATACGTGTTGTCTTTATATATTAATGATAATGACAATAATGATGATAAACTTTATTTCTAATCATTTTTAAACCAGAGTTACAAAATAAATTGCAATGTTTGCAAATCATAGAAAACCAAATTGAACTCAGCAACGCATCAAAACGAAAACAGATGAATGAACAATCATAAAATAAAAAGAATACCATAAGAAATTGTGTTTTTATCAGTCCCATCAATGCACCACCCCATGACATTAAGACTTACTCCAATGATTCAGAGGAAACATGAAATATCTGCATCCAAATATTTGCTCAGTGTTTTATTTCTAAACGCCTTTTGAAATATTGCTCATCAGTACTGATCCTGACATATGGTGCAATGGTTGTATTTAGCAACTATTTCATTTGAAGTGTTTTAAAGACCCTGAGCTTTAGATTCCTGTATTCCAATGTTTGCTAACCACTGCTTATGTAATGTGGTACTTAAATACACAAAATCTACTTCATCCTACTTTTGATCACGGTCAATGTTGCTCTCGTCATGTTGTGTTTACTGCAGCACATTGAAAACCACTGAAGCTCATATACGTTTGTAATGAGAACAATAATCCTGGAGCCATAATTACTGTGATGAACATCTTCTGATCCAGCTTTGACTCTGTACTACAGATGATGAAAGCTTCTGTGTTTTGCCTTTTTCTTGTTGTGCTTGGATGTGACTGCGTTTAATGACCGCGCTGCTCGTCACGGTACAAAAAGGCACTGAAAGAAAAAATGAGATGCTGAAACAAAAGTACAGAGAGACGAGGGGGCATCGGGGAGACGAGGAGAGACGGAGAGAAAGAGTCAGGAGGAATCCGCCGTTTGATGTGTGGGAAGTGTCACACTTGATAAGGGATCCGTGAAAAAAGTTGATTTCACGGCGTCCCTGTGAAGCCCTGCTGAATAATAAAGTGTTGGTAATCATGAGGCGGAGAGGTGAAAGGAAAGAGGCGAGAAGGAGGGGAGAGAAAGAACAGCAAGGTAGAGACAAGCAAGGGAGGAGACATGGTGACAAAGTGAGAAGGTGAGACGGAGAGAGAGAAAAGGGAGACGGTCAGTGCTCGCAGACAATCAGAGATCTGCAGACGAACCGTTTTAAAAAGTGAATTCACTGCTTTGATGTTGCCTCTCACATGAAAAATGTATTTTTCATGAGGAAGAAAGGAACTGCTATGAAGTTTAAGAAATGAATAAAAAAGAGGAAGAGTTAATCCACAAACTAATTTCTCCTGTACTACATGAAAGTCTTTAAATGGTCAATAATAACAGCACATTCAGTCCAAGCTGTAGATATATTCATATATGTGTAATGATTGATATAAGCTCTTGATAATGTTGATTTCTGGTCATTTCTTCCTCGTGTTGCTCACAGTGTGGGAGCGCTGCGTGGTACCAGAATGCTAAATGCTCCCATACATTGTTTTTGCCATTAATTAAATGAATCATGATACATTACCTCGTGCTTGTGGGCGGTAAAGTGCACAGCAGCATCGGTCTTAAAGGCGCAGACGATGTATAAAGGAATTAGAGTTGTTGGGAGTTTGTTCTGAACCTGAGATGAACAAACTCCCCCCAGATAATTTCAGGAGAATATGTGGAGTTCAGCGCATGTCTGAGAGCAGCTTCAGCCATTTCTCTTTCTTTTTCTGCAGTGTCTCTCTTTCATTCCGCCTCCGAGTCCATCTCTCTGTCATTCTCTGAGGGTAGTTAAAGGATAAAAAACCAGATAGTTGAAGGCGCCTATTGATTTTGGTGATGCTTCAGACAAATAGTGGTCTGAGAAGCTTATGTTCTACATTGTGATAACATTGCTTTTATCTAAAGCCAGGGTTGTTCTGCTGGAGGGCCGCACGAGTCCGCCCAATCACTTCTGTGACCCCTCTCTTTGTGAAATGGAAAACGTGTCACCGCTGCAGGTTGAGTGACGAAAGGGAAAATGGCCGGAGGGATGTTAATTACGAGGAAACATCGGGAGTTTGTGTTCATTTGTGCTCTGTGTTGCCACACAATAGGTGCTCATTAGCAGATCCAACACCTAATGGAAGTGTTGAAACGAGTTACTGTGATTCCACTGTCATCCCTGTCGCTAAAATGAAAGTGTCGCTGCTCTCTCTATTTTCTCTCTCATCTCTCGCTTTTCTCCCATTTTTGTCAAACCACCCACTTTTTCGTCAGCCCACCTCCTCATCCTTCAGCACCCCTCCCCCCTCCGTCACCTCCCGCTCTCTCTCTCGGCATCGGCGCATCTCAGATCTGTCAGATAATAAAAAGACTTGTTTGTTGTAGTCTCGGAGGCCGAGTTGTGGCACTAAAAGGCGTCACATTGTTTAGCGAATATGAAGAACGCCTCTGTTGCCTTTGGGTGTTGTGTGTGGACATGTTGCGTCTGTGGTGTGGGGCCTTTGGTGGAAAAGAGAGAGGGTTAAGGCTGGAAAGGAACAGCGAGAAGTAAGTTATACCACGAGGATCATTTGAGCGTGCAATATGTAACTTTAGATGCTTTAGGTGGTTCTCATTCAAAATGATAAGACAAGATGTAGTGTGATGATGTGGTGAAGCAGTGTGGGATCATGGGAGTTGTTGTCTTCACCACCACTGCCAATAAAAATCTACCTGACGAGACTGATTTCCTTAGTTTTCTTGCTGTTAACTGAATAAAATGGTTATTTTGACTGTGGATCATACAGACCAAACGAGTCAAAGACGTCCGGGACTCATTATGAGGCAGGATTAGGTTTCACTCCAGGTTAACTCTTGGTTTCCTGTGTCTAAAAAGCTGCTTCACCTCTGACCCCATGTTGCTGCAAGTTCAGTGGATCAGATCAATAGAAAATCAGAATCATTGATCTGCAGGATCCTTACAGGGACAAAAGACTTCATAACAAAGTGACAAATAATAATAAAGAACAATAGATATCTTTAAAGATCCGTGGAATTGTGCTGTTAAACATAAAGGGAGAATTTATCACGCAACATATTTCCATTGTGTCAAACAAAGATTATTTGAACACAGGTTCAGTCAGTGTCGATGCTTTTATTGTCTTATCCCATCACTGCAGCTCAGATAATAATAATAATAATAAAAACTAAAGCCTCTGATGCATTTTATTTGTGAAATGATCCAGTGTTCAATATTTCCCATGATTATAAATTGATTAACAACTTCTGAGTCTGACGTTGCTTTTTTAATCTGCATCACATGATAGTTTGTTCATCAAAACTATTCACTCATTATTAACATAATAAAATACAGAGTATCTTATATCCTGACTTTTTGTGATCTGAAGCCAAATAACCAGAAGATATCCTGGTTATGTTGAACTTGCCTCAAAGTACAGGCCTCAGATTTGGGCATTCGCACTTTATGGGCCAAAAAATTTCATGGAAAGCAGATTATTTAGTTCAAGGAAATGTTTCATAGCCGCAAACCTAGTTAAAATTTATATAATATACATATCGAGTTTATTCCTATAACCCAAATCATAAGTTCCTGTATTAAAGAAGGATTTACACTCAGTACGCCCTCGTACGACACTGTCTTTTCAGAACGTTTGATTAAGTGTAGCGGAGCAAACAGCTTCCACTTTGGGAGGATTTAAACTTAGATGTTGGTGCATTGTTACCAATAAAGCTGCTGGGAAACGGGCGCTCGCTCTCATCGTCACATCTCAGCCTTTAGACCATTTAAGCTGTGTGTGTCTGTGTGAGTCTGTGTGAGAGATTCGGTCTCTGGTTTCAGGCTTTTAAGATGTTGCAGATAACACTTCTGTGCGACCATCCACTCAGGATACAGTTACTGTGTTTGTAGCGAGGATTTATTCCCTGTGGAGTTCTGCTGAGGCTATTGAAACCTGAACGGTGTTTAGCATTCACACACACACTCACACACACTCACACACACTCTCACACACACTGTAAGGATGTTGCCTGAGGGAGCATTTTGCCTGGTTAAAAGCTCTTTATGTGTCAGAGACTTTCCAACTGTCCCTCTGAGAGACGAGCCAATAGCTCAGGTTACAACAGGACGGTTCGATGATTAATGCAAACTCACAAAGTGAGCTTCATCAGGACTTACAGAATAAATAACACGACAAGTCCTGTAGCGCAGACATGAGGGAAAATGGAAGGGAAGCAAAAGTTCAGATGAACGATTGTTGTTCTCTCAACAAATGGTACGAGCGCATTAAACTCTACTAAACTTTTATCAGACTACTTCTACAGACTTTGTGTAACCCTGACGTTCAGCTGCGTCATCTCTGGGCTGACGGGAAAAACCTGGATTACAGTTTCCTTTTGTAGTTTTATCATCAATGATCAACAACATGACACCTCACGTGATCAACACCGATGTCACTGCAGGCTGCCAAACTCAGGAAACGCTCAAAGTCAAATATGAATATTGAAGAGTCTGTGTCGCAGCATATTAAACTGCTGGATTTTTACTTTACAAGCAATTTAGTGTTGAAATGTCTCTATCTTTATATCTTTGTGTGTGTGTCTGTGTGTGTCTGTGTGTGTCTGTGTGTGTGTAGCCCCCTCCCCAGTGAGTGTGGTGAGGAAAGGTCACACGGAGAAGAGCAGCATCGCCCTTTCTTGGGCAGAGCCTGATCGTCCCAACGGCATCATCCTGGAGTACGAGATCAAGTACTTTGAAAAGGTACAAAATATATTTATACACATATATATGCAGGTACACACTCAACTAATCAAACTTTAGCTTGGACTGGACCAAACTGGTTAAATGACTCATGCAGAGTTTAAGTAACCAAATGTGATATGTTACATTTGCTTAATTTGAATAAATATAAAAACTTCTCCTCTAACTGTAAATGGACCAGTACTTCTATGATTTTCACAGCAGTTTAGATTTAGTGGTTCATTTATGCTGCGATACAAGATTTTATTTCATAGGTTTTGTTTCAGTGACGCTAAAGGAACAACTTTACCGCCCATAGATTTATTCCCCATTCCAGCTCTGGGCTCTACATCTTTAATAGTTGCAGAAACGTTTGGACCAGCATTCATCAAATTGGCCCTTAGAGATGCAGCTGAAATATGCATTCACTTTGCCTCGAAGAGTATTTTCAAATCTTATTCGGCCTTTTAAATCAGTTCCACCACTTAAAAATGACTCTTCAATGTACTCAGGTGCATTTACAGAAATGTGATCCTTGTGTTCAGATCTTTGTTCCCATGCCCTTCCTCCGTTTTCTCACTTTCATCTTCTGGTGTCTTCTTTTCTGGGAAGGTCAGAATAAAAAGGTGTAGAGGAGAGCGGGGTTTGTGGTCAGTGGTGAGCTAATGGCTTCTGGGCTAATGGAGGGGGCATTTAGCTGTGTTTAAAGCTGATGTGGTTACGGCTGGGGAAACTGATCCTCTCACACTCACACACACACACACACACACATGGTAGCTTTGCCACAGGGATGCAACAGCCAAAGAAACAGATGCAGGCTACAGATGCTAATCAAGATAAACCAAAATATATGATTGAACTGCAGTAAGTCTCTCTGTCTTTCTCCCGCTGCAGGAGCAGGACTCCAGTTACACTATAATAAAATCCAAAGAGACGGAGATGGTGGTGGACGGGCTGAAGCCGTCTTCAGTTTACATCTTCCAGGTAAAACATGGAGTCAGATAATAAAGCAATGAAAAAACCCACTTTAGTCTCGAGGAACATCTATGTGTGACGTGCATGAATATATTTAAATACATGATGCGATATTCACTGGGGATGTTTTTCATTTCAGGTGCGAGCCAGGACCTCAGCGGGCTATGGAGCATTCAGTCGGCGGTTTGAATTCCAGACCAGCCCTTACTGTGAGTACACCTGAGAGAGAGAGAGAGAGAGTGTGACAATACATAAAGTTCAGCTAGTACGTGTCACCCGTCTGCTTTTGGAAGCTGCTTCGACAACAGATGCCAGGTGTATTGTAGTGTGTGCATGTATACTTCACTGTGTGTGTCTGTGTCTAACTATTTATGAATCCCTGTTCTTTGGCAGTAACTGCTACCAGTGAGCGAGCTCAGGCCTCCATAATAGCGGTGGCCATTACACTGGCTCTGGTTCTCCTGGCAGTGGTCGCTGGATTCCTGCTGAGCGGACGGTAAGAAATAAGTACATACCTGAAACAACATGAACACACAGTATATAAGTGTGTATGTGGGTGCACACAGTACATCTACACACACTCCAATATGAATTGTATGAGGGAAAACACAGATTGTAACCCCAGTATTAATAAAATATAGTTACATATAGTGACAACCCATGAGATGTAGTCTGGGCAGCAGCAATGGCGCAGGTGGTAAAGCGATTTGTCCACTAACCAGACGGTGGTTTGACCCCTGCTCCCTCAGTCCGAGTCCTGAACCCAAAACAACAACTACATTGTGTGTGATAGAAAAAAAGCGACATATAGAAACTCTGAATGTGACTTGTCGCTCTGAGGTTTAAAGACACAACACACATGCTCCATTATTCACCAACATTGAGCACCCGGTCCTCCTTACATTAAAAACTACATCAATGTATTTACAAGCCTCCAGGCTCATGCAACCTTCACGAGCAAGTTTTCATTTTCAAACATGCACACGCAACAAAACACAAGTGTGTATATACGATAGAGAATGAATTCAGATATGCACTTAATCACTGGTCATTGTGAAATGGTATTAAACCATTAAACCAACATTTAGTCTCTTGTCCTCAAGAGTTTTTCTGTCCTTTGTCTTTTATTTGTCTGTAAAAGTTTGATGAACTCTTGAACGTGACCTGATTTCCACTTCTATAATCACATTTCCCCGTGAAATGTATTTAATTACGTTAATTACAGGCTCTACTCTGAATGTCCATGTCCCTTTACTGAACCATAATTAACAGAGCTGAAGGCAGCTCGATAAAACTCAGTGTGAACTCACATTTACATCCATGTCGTCGTGGTCTGTTCCTCCTCCCAACTCTCCACCCACACAATTGTAATAAAGGTAATCTATGTTGAATTAATCCAGTTGTGGATCTGATCAATCATCTTCATTCAGCCATTCACACAGTTTGATGAATCTTTATTCATCCTTGCAACCATCAGGTCATAATATTAGTGATTTAGTTCATCTCTATTTTAAAGACTGTAATAATGACCACATGAATCGTGGGTGAGGCTGAGTATTGAAAAGGAAATCAGAAAGACACGGAGGTGATTTTTGGTTTTACCGATCGAGGATGAGGATGGAGGATCGCTCTAGTTTCCTGTGGGGGAGGAGAGATGGAGGAATGCCAAAATTGTCCAGTGGTCGATTTGGGACACAAGCACCCCCACCCCCACCATCCACTGTACTCCCACCTCCCCTCCTCCTGGATGACCCTCCAGACTCAGCAGCGTGCATAGACATCCACAGCCGGCACGCATGTAGACACACACACACACACACACACACACACACACACACNACACACACACACACACACACACACACACACACACACACACACACACACACACACACACACACACACACACACACACGTATGTGCTGATGCATGTATGCATGACTTAACACAGACACACACAGATCCACACATGCAGGAAGTTGGACGGCCGACTGTTCAGGGAGCGAGCGCAAACCCCTTGACTCAACAGATCCGGCAAACTAAACACCCTCAGGCTGACACACATGAACGAAACGCACACACGCACACACACAAACCTAGACTCCCCCCCCCCCCAACTATCCAGCTGCCCATACCAAACCCCTCTAGTCAAGCCAGGCTGCCCTACAGAGAAATGTAATAGGAAATACATGACCTCAATGTGTGTGTTCATGTGTGTGTTCATGTGTGTGATCATGTGTGTGTTCATGCACTTCTTTGTCTCCAAAAGCAAAAAGAACGAGAACATATTATTGATTTTCTTTCTGCAGATTTACCTCATAAAACTGTAAAGTGTGTCAGTGTCGTGTGTGTGGATCAAGTTTAAAATCAATCCCCCTGTTTAATCTGGGTTATCTGTCATTATCCCTGATGCCTCCTGTCTAAATATTGACATACATAATTTTTGAGCCCGTACACATGCAGACATGCACCATGACTATACACACACACACACACACACACACACACACACACATCCACACAACGTGCAGCTTAATACATGTGTTGGCCATCAGGCAAAATGCAAACATGCCCTCCATGAGTGCATAAGACAGAAGGATATGATGCAGACAAAACCCAGTTAGTTTGCCAGGAATTGTTTAAAGAATATTTCCTTTTTCTTTTTCTTTTATTCTGGATGTGGCCTTTATCAGAAAGTGCACAGCTCTGTTCTCTCCTGTGTCAAAAGTCAAAGTTGGAAAATTATTCTCTCTGGAAACTGCACTCCTTTGCTTTCATCTTAACGGCTTCTGCCACCTTTCAGCGTTTTCAGCAATATTTCTGAAAACCTTGAAATGTAACTTAGCAGTTAGGAAATAAAAAAAAGCTTATCGTGCACTCCAGGTGTGATGATGTCTTGTGTTGGCCTTGCTTTTCTTTATTGTGTCTGGGCCTTCCCATGATACAGAGTGTGGACCATGATCTCACTTCATGTTTGAAATGTCACTGCTTGCATCTGTTTCTGATCATAAAATCGTCATAATGTTAAAAAGACAACATGGAAGAGAATGTATGCCTCTATAATATATGTGTGTGTGTGTGTGTGTGTGTGTGTGTGTGTGTGTGTTCGTGTCTTCCTCCTCTCAGGCGATGTGGCTACAGCAAAGCAAAGCAGGATCCTGAAGAGGAGAAGATGCACTTCCACAACGGCCACAGTAAGTTGAGAAGCTTCTCATCACACTGATTTTAAATAATTGTGTAAATTCATATCATGCTGCAGTGTGTGTAACATGTCCAGGTAAAGATGTTTTGTATGCATACAGTGCACTGTGCCTACGACTCTGACGACATCGTAATATGTTAAATGACATCTAAATGGTAATGATGCCGTGCGTGTGCCTCTGCAGTCAAGTTCCCCGGGGTGCGCACCTACATTGACCCCCTCACCTACGAGGATCCCAACCAGGCAGTGCATGAATTTGCTCAGGAGATCGACGTCTCCTTCATCTCCATAGAGAGGATCATCGGAGCTGGTGAGTCAACTCGCTGTGCCTGCCTGTACGTGTGTGCCTTACAGATACGCTCATTCTTATTCTGAGTGTCGGTTTTGGGGCTGATTTGGAGAGAATAATATATCACAGAATACATTATTGTTCACTCTGAGCCACTGACGCCGACCTGTTCAATCAAACATGCTCAGGTAAAGTCCTCTAATGTTCTGTAACGGATTAAAATCATATCATACTGAAAGAAAACACTGAAGGTACAATAATAACAATGATGATCCAAAACTAATTCTGTCATGTTGCATAGAATTTGACCATTTCCTCATTAGCTCGATTATATTACCTCATATTTTCTCCAACCTGCATAAATCTGTCACATTCATAATTGCATGTGTTTGTAAAGATGCAGGGCTACACACATTTAATTGGGCCAAACACTGTGAAGGAAATTGACAGTTCACACAGCTATAAATGCTGTTTGCTCTCTTCTGACAAACATGTTGATTTGCAGCATTTGTGAGACTCACAAGCTTCCTCGCCGTGCAGCTCGGAAATGAGCACTTCAGCCGAGCGCTCCCAGTATTTATACATAAAAGATGGCGGTGCAACATTTATCCTGAAAGGCAGCAGAAGTAGATTTCACAAACTGTAGGTGTTCAATTCATAACAAGTAACAGCTTTTCATTAAAATGTCTGAGAACAACTGGACCTATTTTATATGTTTGGTTGACTTGTGTTTTTACATTATCAGAAATGTTCAAACCCAGACAAATCAATTTTGTTCAAGGAAACAAGTTCAATTGTTATTTGCTGCGTAACATGAATAAAACTTTCATCTATTACCTCATGTGAGTGTGATTTGCACCCGAGTCGCATCAGGTAGCTGTTCATCAGCAATGATGGTTAAAACAACAACTCCCAAGATCCCACGCTGCTTCACGACATCATCAAACTAGGTCTTTTGTTAGAGTTTTGATTGTGAGACCCCTACTGGCCGAAGTTCTGCCTCAGAGTAGAATAGTCTGTATGAGATGTTTCACCATTAGACAAGACTTTTGCACTTCAAGGTGTTGCTCACGCTCCCGTCTTCTCTCCTCAGGGGAGTTTGGAGAGGTGTGCAGCGGACCACTGAGGCTGCCCGGGAAGAGGGAGATCCAGGTTGCCATCAAGACCTTGAAAGCCGGATACACCGAGCAGCAGAGACGCGACTTCCTTTGGGAGGCGTCAATCATGGGCCAGTTCAACCATCCCAACATCATCCGTCTGGAGGGCGTCGTCACCAAAAGTGAGTCATCGTCGCATCTGCTCCTACATTTTGAGTTTCCGAGGTTTTTGAGTCCAAAATGCTTCCTATAGAGTTTTTTAACGTATGCCACTCAGCAGATTAACTACTCATATGGAATATTTTTCTGGGAGATGTTTAAAGCTTAACTTGTGCACTTGTCAGCCTCTTATTTCCTCCGTCTAAAAACTGTACTCGGTCGGGTTTGTCAGCCTCCATCTGACTCAGCCGTGCTCCGTCACGTTCTGATGTGCTTTGACAGCTTCAGCTGAGGTTTATCGAGCTCGGTGCTGCGTTGACCTTTTTTTGACTCGTGCGTACGGTTGACTTCATCATTTAAGTGCGACAGTAACATTAAATTATATTTGTATTTATTTCTCTGTTTAATTCAGCAACAAACAGCTGATACAGACATCTGAAAAACACCAATACATCGACCTGGCTCATTATTCAAGACAACTGAATCCTCAAGCAGTGTGGGCTTATTTGGTATTTTATAGCCACATAACTAACTCTGCCTATTAGGGTTGGTAATGAGAATGAAATTAGTGCTGACATATGCTCACTTCCCAGTTAATTAGGAACAACAGCTAAAAATACAGCAATCCAATACGACTGCTGCAGTAAATACGACATTTGAAGGTTATTTTGCTCGTTTGTGTTGATTGTATAGAAAATGATTGCTGTTGCCTCGTGTGGCAACATTCAGGTCATTTTTCAGGCAACAAAATATAAATCTGTGGATTTTCTGCTCTTCTCACTATAAATTGAATAACTTTGAAAAAAAACACCACATCACTTTGGCCTTCAGGAAACTGTTATGGATGTTGATACTACTTTTTAAAACCACACTTTTAATTACATTAAACTGTAAATATAGCTATTTCTTAGTTAGGCTACAGTTTTAAAGGGTTGAACAAGTAGGGCTGAAAATAGTTTCTCAATCGTTGCATATGAATCCCACGTCTCTATGCCAGTCAGTGATATAATGTTAATGTTTTTAATATTCAGCATATTTGTTTGATAAATATAAATACACTGACTTTGCCACTCTGACCTTCCTTTTTATTTATTGACGTGTATTGTCGTTTTTGTAGTAATTGTATTTATGCTTCACAGGCAAACCGGTGATGATTATCACAGAATACATGGAGAATGGATCCCTGGACACATTCCTTAAGGTAGGACATTCAAAAAAGAGGTCACTGATTCTTTTTATTTGTGTCATCGCTGTGTTTCATACAAAAGAAGAAGAACTGTCCTCACAAACCACGCATGCTGCTACCAAAGATGAAGATTTGTTTGAGCAAGTTGTTTTGGCTAAAACCAGCTGCCAGTAGCATCATCATCATCATCACTACCATCTGACATCAGAGGCCTCGCCAAAGAGGAGCAGTTGTAGCCATCATATTCGTGAGGTTAGCGTGATATATGTGTTCAGTAATTTAGAATGGCCCTCGATGGACGTTATAAAAATGGAAATGACCCTTGACAGGAAAAAGGGTTCCGCCCACCCCTGGTGTACACAATCTGGATTTTATCGAGTAAAGACAGCGGACTGTAAAAAAGAGGCCGGCTGGCAGATCTCCGATTAAACTGATCCTTTTCCAGAACACTTTCTTCTGTTCACTGGTTACAATGGCATGATGCTCAGTTGGCACATGAGGATAAAACCTGTATGAAAACGGGGTAAACTGCTGCTGCAGATGGTTAATGGAGACGTGAAAGAAAAAAAGGTCCCGCGGTTCCAAGATGGTATCGGCATAATTCAGAGAAGTTACGGAAATTTGGGAAAAGGTGAGAATCATTGAGTCGTGTTCGGAGTTTGAGGCGTGCTTGAAAGTCAGATCAAAAATTTGCACAGGATGTTCTCGTGGAATGAGACAAAAGAAAGAGGGAGTGGATACGCTGTATGGTCAAGTGGAAACTGCTGACGTGACTGTCCTCTGTGCATCAGAGAGTAACCCTGTATGGCTAAGGGGAGGCTGGGGGGGGGGGGGGGGGGGGCACAGAAAACCCTGTGAAGCAATTACATGGATGGCTGGTGTACTGAGGCTGGTATAAATGACACAGCCATGAGAAAACCAGGGGCTGGACTGGCTCCTGGATTAAGTGTCACTGCTCTGGACAATGTACCGTTAAGGCTCATATTGCACATCCTTGGCTTAACATCTCATTTCACATGTAAGTGGGATGTTCTGCTGCGGGAAGGAAAGGTAGTTGTTGTAATGATGGAAACTGCAGTTTGAAACCATGAGGGGGAGAGAAGTGAGCAGCTTCAGCACACGTCCTCCTGCTGAGATGTGGAGAAAGGATAAGAAGGGAAGATTGGATAGTTTACTCTTGGATCAGAAGGAGATGAGGCTTAAACTAACAGTGAGAGCTGTCAGTGGGAGAAAAGTAAGAGAGGAAGAGTTTTCAGCAGGAGGGAAAGAGCAGTCAGTGTAATTTACTGCTTTCATTAGCGTTGTACAAAGAGAAGTGGTGTGAGATGACGCCGTCTTATATTTTTGCATTAGAGGTCAGAACTGTGCAACACCTGATCACCAGGTGGAACATTAAACCTGCGCTGGACTCCAGATAAGGTCCTGACATTTTCCAGAGAGGCTGTTTGACACAAATGTCAGAGTGAGTTTCTCCTCCCAGCTCCTGTAGTAAAAACTCTGGATAATGTCCGAATGAGCCGATGTGAGAACACCGCAGGAGAGTGTTCACCACAACATTCTAGATGAAAACATCTCATTTCCTTGGTGAAGGTAAAAACAGATCCAGGCATCCCCACCACCACAACCTCTACACCCGTCCTTGCCACAAACCATTACTTCCTGTTTTGGCATCAAACACTTTTCCACTGACGGCCGGTCGGTCAGTGCTGTGACTTGAATCGAGTTTGGCAGCTTTTTCCAGGGACGGTCTCCTAATCTGCGTGAAATTGTGGCGGGAAGCTGCATTCTGTCCTTGGCAGAAGTACCTTTTTCCCTCACACCATTTTTTGCTGGATATTGAAAGAGCTAATTATTAATATAGGGGTATGGAAATGTGAAGGTCCCACAAGAGAAAGCTAAGTCACTGCTCGACGTGAATAATGAGAAATTGGCTGTGATTTGCTTGAGGGAGTAACGGCTGCGCTGGAGTCTGCAGCAGAGACGGTGGTTTTCATAAAACATGGTGCGACTCCGAGCAGCGATGAGCCCTGGGGAGGTGGAGAGGGATCTTTAATCTTGGTTTGGGTCCACGCACAGACCAGAAGATCAACTGACAAGGACAGTACAGTACGTGGATGTGTGGAATGACCCGAGGTAACATTTATAAAAAAGGTGCACAGGTGATACCTGACAGGGAGAGCAATTAGAAGTGAGGAAACGGTCGATCATTCGAGATACATTACCTGAAAATTATATTACCAGCAATTAGAAGTAAATGGGAATAATCTGCAATAATGTGCAAATACCCTCAGAATCCACTGCTGACTGAGATAAAGTTGGGCGCTCACAGTCGCGTCTTCATTGCTCTCCCGTAGGTTCTGGTAATTGGCTTTTTGGGCTATCAGTGGCCGTGTGGCTTTCATGCCACGGGGCAACTTTTAAGTGGCCGTTAGCACGAAGCTCTGCGATTATTTTTCTCCTCCGCAGAGGTCACACGCACCTTTTCTCTTCCGCTTTTCTATAATATCCTGCAAGCTGACCCAGTTTAGCAGGCTACATGCATTAAAGCGTACAGAACAGGTGATGGGGGGAGGGGGGCTCCAGACAGTTTTTTTAATGTCAAACCAAGTGGGGACTTCTTTATCATAACTGAGCTACCGTATATATTATACAGAATTATAATGCAGTGCAGGCACTGAGGAGAAGCACTGCAGTGCTATGCTGCATCACTGAAAGTGCATTTAGGGCATTCTGGATTTGATTAAGATCCTATTGGCTAAACGGATAATAATTAATAGTTAATTTAATCATACATGATTTTATATGTATAGTATTTTGAGGTGGCATGGTGGTAAAGTGGTTTGCACTATCACCTCACATCAAGAAGGTTCTGGGTCTGAGTCCAGAGATGTGCATCTCAGATCTGCTTGGAGACTTTAAATTGAGTGTCATCATGAGTTTGATATTGTTTCTCCTCTCGAGTCTCTATCCTCCTCCTCACTGCTCCTGGTCAATCTCTTCTTCCAACTTGTCTCTCATCAGAAAAATGACGGTCAGTTCACTGTGATCCAGTTGGTGGGAATGCTGCGCGGCATCGCGTCTGGTATGAGGTAAACATGCTACGTCCACACGTCCACACAACATGTTGAACTGAACACATCATCAGGGCTGTGTTTGATCATCATCTCCTCTGTGTTGGTGAACTCAGGTACCTGTCCGACATGGGCTACGTCCACCGGGATCTGGCAGCTCGTAACATCCTGGTGAACAGTAACCTTGTGTGTAAAGTGTCCGATTTCGGCTTGTCCCGAGTCCTGGAGGACGACCCGGAGGCTGCGTACACCACCCGGGTAAGACTGCACATGTTTGTGTCTCGTAGCGCTGCAAGTAATAGATTATCTCCCAAGTCTGAAATGTCACGTCACAGTTTCCCAGAACCCCAGGTGATCTGCAAATCATGATATATCTGACCAATAGTTCAGTACCCAAAGATATTTACTTTATAACTAGAATAGCTCAGTAGAGCCCAAACAAGCACAACGACCCTCTTATGAAACCATGAATTATTCTTTGAGGAATCAAGGGAATCTGGATCTGCACCAACAAGAAGAAGGTAAGAACTAAGAAAAGTAGCAGTTCCTCATGTGACCTCCATGTTTTTGCATAGTCTTCAATTATCTATAATTGATTAATCAACTAATTCAGGATGAGAGAGAGGAAGAGGAAGTGACATCGAGAGGACACTGTGGTGTCTCTAGAGGCATTTATATCTAATCCAATGTGTCTCTCTGTGTGTGTGCAGTGATAGTGTTATTTTAAAGTTAAGTGGAAAACTATTTCACAACAGAGTCTTGCAGGAGCTAAACACACACACACGAACACACACACACACACACAGTGAGAGAGAGAGAGGACTGCAGCGGGTTTTAAATTGAGCTGTGTGTCCCAGGCTGAGTGGCGTCCTGTCAACCAGAGACAGGCTGCTTCCTGCAGGAGGAGGTCCAATTAGTACTCGGTTCAGTCTCTGCAACACTCAATTAGCACCGAGTCTTGCTGCTTTAGCGCTAAATATCCTGCCACTCACCTCTCGCTGCCAGGCTGCATCTCTCCTCTCTCTTTCCCTGACAGAGCAGCCACCGAGGATAACGCAATTCACACCCCTCAAATAATCAGACCCTGAGATATCCTGCTGCTGTGTTCATCAATACGGCATCAAGCTTATTTCACCGCTCATCAGCAGAGAACACATTTTCGTCAGGAGCGCAGCAGTCGTCCTGTGAACTTTTCTTTCACAGCAATGAAAGCTCAATAATGAAGATGGGGAAAAGGTGCGGAGGAATCTCGGCGGCCCCCCCCCCGACAGTCAGGACAGGAGATTTGTAAAAGAAAATGTGAATATCTTCTAAATTGGTGTTCATTAGTGAAATTGTGGGTCGAACCACATGAGGCAGAAGTGTCTTAATTAAGGTCTGTTCTTGGTTTTTCCTTTTTCTGTAATAAAACATAAAAACCTTGAACGAGTGCAGCTGTATTTACACACAGGAAGGTCATTTGAACGAGAAAGTATCATACATACACACACATACAACATATCAAGGTTTTTCATATTAAAGCAAACAAATTGAAAGTATTTCAGCCTCGACGGAGCTTGAGTACCAAGTTCTCTTCAATCCCCAGAGGTCGTTTGATTTAATACATTTTCTTGTATTCTCTCACAGGGCGGCAAGATTCCTATTCGCTGGACGGCTCCAGAGGCGATCGCATACAGGAAGTTCACCTCAGCCAGCGACGTGTGGAGTTACGGCATTGTGATGTGGGAAGTGATGTCATACGGAGAGAGGCCGTACTGGGAGATGTCCAATCAAGACGTAAGTTTTCCTAATGGGACATATTTGTCCATGCTGTTCATTGTTTGTGTAAGTTTACTCACAATTGAACCAAGTTGAATTCTTCTTTTCACCTTTGGGTTGAACTAAAGAGGTACTGAATAGGAAAAGCCTCATTTCTCATTAACTTCATCATGTTTGCAGTTTTTCATTTACTCTCCGATGTTTTGATTTACTTTTCTTGTGTCACTAATTAAAACATTGTATCCTGTTTGTTTAATCTCTACGAAAACCAACATGTTTACTGGCAGGGCCGTTTATGTGCCAGATTAGTTCTTGGCTACAACCAGTAACTTGGACTGGTTGCTTGGCAACTGCCCAGAAAAAGTCTGGCTCATAAAACCTCCTTAACAAACCCCATTTTTTTTGTGTTTGTTTTTCTATTGATTATATAAATGAGATGTAATGTGTTAATTAGTGAGCGTGGAGCTTTTTCACCTTCGGACAGAGACAGGCTGTGTGACTGTTTCCACATTCTACGAAGCTACTATCCCGACTAAAAGCTTCATTTTTGGGCAGCAGATGGTATCGATCTTCTCACCTCACATTCTGCCAACATGGAAATAAGTTTGTTTTCCAGAACTCAGTTTAAGGATCCTGCAGCAGTTGGACTCCAGTGTTATTTTCACAGGAATGAACTTCACACCTTCGTTGGAACAATGTTTTTTTTTTTCAACTGTCCCTGAGACCAAACATGGAACAGTATGTTCACATAGTTTAAGATAAGTTTCTGATTAAATGTTGGTTTATTCTTTTTTCTCGTTCACCAATTTAAAGAGATTAAAAGTATAAATGTATTTATTAACAGCATTTCTTCAAATGAGTTGGACCTGATTAGATTTTGATGCTTGAAAGTTTGCTCCGGTGATCAACCATAAGTTTTAAATGTCTTTGGATCCCCATGAACAAACGATGAACAGCATCGTTCTTGTATTACTGGAAATGTGAACTTGTGAATGAGTGGCTGTGGGGGGAGGTATGAGCGCTGGTGACACCAGGATGACGACCTACATGTGTCTGTGCGTCAGCGAGGGGACGACGGAAAGTGAGTCAGAGAAGAGAGGGCAGCCACGGTGCGGCTCAGAGGTCGTCTTAATGGGAAGATCTGGAATCGCTTCACACGATCGCGATGTGCGAGCGAGAGCGCCGTGTTCGATACCGGAGCCACACACACACACACACACACACACATGTGCGTTCACTTCCCACCCACAGACACAGGCAGCAAATGCACGCACAGCCCTCCAGTGACCTCTTCAGACCCCTCCCTCCTCCTCTCGGTTATTAGTCTGTCTGTCTCGAAGAAGTCAAAGAGTCGGAGAGGAGAGGAGGATGAGAGGAGAAGAGAAGACGTTTGATGTTTAATTGAAAGCGTTATGCTGGATTTTCTCTGATCTGCAGAAGAAAGTGCAGCCTCACTCACTCTCTCTTTCTCCATGCTCTCTCTCCGTCTGTTTGCCATTTCTCTCCCTTCTCCCCCTCACGTCTTTCTCTCGTCCTCTTGTTTCGTCTCTCTCTGCTCTCGTCCACCTTCTCTTTCTCTCTCCCAGCTCGGCCGCTAATTTTCTCCCCCTCTGATCTTTCCTCCCTGACACTCAGCCGTGCGTGGTTCTGCTCCCTCTCAGCAGCAATGATTCAACGCTACGCTTCTCTTTTTGGAGCGTGTACGTGCGCTCTCACTCGGAGCGTCTACCACGTCTGTCTTTTGTGTGGATTTGACACAAGTAAAGGCTGTCATGAACTCAACAGATCAATTCCCTGCAGTGTCTTGCAGTGGCAGAACTAGGCTGAGAACTCCAGCCTGCTTTTCCACTGCAGAGTCCAACAAGAAGAGCCGGGATTTATTTATTATTCATCGAACTCCATTCCCCACATCTTGTTAGATACAGAAGTGATTAACTGGGCTATTCAGCATATCACATAAATAACACTTTTATGATGAGTTACTTTGTGGGTTCTCTGCGGGGGTTTAGTTGTTGCTTGCTAACTTCTCGGAGGTTTTGAGTGTGGGGTCAGATACAGAGCAGGAGCGTCTCTGGAGGATATCAGGATTCAACATCTCTGGATGATTCAAACTGGAGGTGACGTTGTTTTTCTGTCACGGTTTCTGCTGCGGAAAAGTTACTTCACCTTCAGGTGTCAAAACAAGTTGTGTCCTGATTCACAGCAGCTTTGACACCTTTGGCCGTTTCATGCCTCAGATGTTCAGGTTACAGGAGCCGTACAGGTAAAGTAGGAGAAGTTTACTGACAAAGCTGCTTATTATTGGTCTGAAAGCAGTTTCAGCTCTGCAGCCTGATCACAGCCTCTATCAGCGAGCCACGGAGATTTTGAGCTTCCGCCCACAGGCCAGGATTAACTGGGATATATCCTTCTGTGTGATGTTGGTGGGTGATGATGTGGATCTTGTTTGAAGCACTGATGGCTGGAGGTTTGGTGTTGTGCTGTTTCATGTGAGTCTGTGGTTTTAACATATGTATATTTTGACTTACATTTGTTTTCATGCAGGTGTCAAATCGAAGATTAACATAGAGTAAATCATTTACAGTGGAAAGACACAGTCTGGCAATCGTCGCAGCAGAATAAGACATCGTGTCACCGCTTCCTGGTTTCACTTTCACTGGGTTTTGCCTGAGGAAAAAAAGTGAAACTCTCGCCCTAACTGAGCGACAGTCAGACTTCAGGTCCTTCAGACTCTCCTGGAGTATCTGGTCATGTTTTACGAAACCAACATCCCTCTTGTCTATTTGCAGGTAATAAAAGCAATAGAGGAGAGCTATAGGTTGCCAGGTCCTATGGACTGCCCCGAGGCTCTGTACCACCTAATGATGGACTGCTGGCAGCGAGATCGCAGCAGCCGGCCCAAGTTCGATGAGATCGTCTGTCTACTGGACAAACTCATCCGCAACCCCAGCTCATTAAAAAAACTGGTCAACTCGTCGCACAGGTGGGAGCTCACACCATAGAGCATCGGACATATGTGGTCAGGCCTCAGGGCCAAAACAGAAACTGATATTTTTGTATTCAAGCACCAGACAACAAAAGGTTTCACAGATATGTGAATATCACGGTGAAGTGCAAAGCCAAAGGGCAAATTACAAAACACAGCCAAACACAATGGCTAATAAGTTAAAAATCAAAAATTGTTTGATTTGTTGTGTTTTATTATTTGCTGTTCTATTTTCTTATTTTCCGTTGTGTTTGATGAATTGCCACTTTGCACCACCGTGGAATATCATAATTTTCTTGCATGTATGTGTGTGGATATTTAACCGTCAGGGATGGCATCGTTAGACTCGTCAGATTAAATATTGTCTTTACTGAATTACTGTGCAGCTGCATAATTAAACCAGGATGTACACAGTCCTTCATGCCAGCAGAGAAGAGCAGGGAAATTAATGAAGGTGTCTGGATTTTCTGAAAACTACAAATTAACGTGAATTATACTGAGGTTGGACGTCCTTTGAACATTCAGTTAGTACTTTATACCCACTATGTATATGCGTAAGTGCATAAGGGCATGAAAGAGATGTAAGTGTGGCAGACATTTAGTCAGACGCTATCCTTACTTTATTTTATTTTCAGAAATAATGAAATAACGTGAGATATTTTGATCTCCTCTTTTTTCTCTCACACACACACACACACACACACAGGAGCCCTGTTAATAAATGAATGCCATATCTAACAGCTCATGCAATAACATTTGACAGTAATGCAGATTAAAGGGACACCAACAGGGCAATCTCTTGTTCTGGCTGTGGCGTGGAGAATATTGTTTGCTCGCGTGAACATCTCTGTTTGATAGTATGGAGAGCTCTGTTTCTTTACTTTTTTGCATGAAGAGTGAGCTGAATGACAACGTGTTCAGCTTCGTGTAATGGTGCGTAACTTGCATGATGAAGCCTCGCTGGTATCTGTCAGGAGCCGAGCGTCAAACTACAGTCAATTGCACAGTGAATCACACTCCTTTACGTTCATGATAACAAGAAACAGAGCTGGTGCTTTACATCCTGACAACCGGAGATTCTGTTTGAAGACGTGTGTAATCTTCTGCTTTAATTCAATTATTTCTTTTACCGTGTCTCTATTCATGCAACAGGGTTTCCAACCTGTTAGTGGAGCACGCCAACGTCACGGCGGACTGCAGCGCTCGCAGCCAGACTGTCGGGGAGTGGCTGGACTCCATCAAGATGGGTCGTTACACTGAGCTCTTCATGGAGGGAGGTTATTCTACACTGGAGACAGTGGCTCAGATGACATCAGAGTAAGGCCACTTAAGCATCTGCAAATATATATAATAGAAGTACAACGACTTGCAGATCATTTTTATAGCTTCATTCTGTCATTTTGAAATATCCGACTATGATTTCAGTATACAGATGTGTCTATGTACCTTGTCAAGGTCAAAGCACAATGAGAATGCAGTATCTTACAGGGTTTCTGTCTTCAGAAGCAGTACATTTGACAAAAACTGCATATCATGTATGTATCAGGGATTATTACAGTTTTTGTAACTGCTTCAATCAGGCTGTTCCTGTGAGGATATTTTATTCTGATTAAATTACTTAAATTAACATTGCAGCTAAAACAACAAAAAAATGGTATTAAAAGCTTGTTATCTAAAATATTGTAAACTAGACTGGAATTCAGTAGAGCCCATACGTCCACCAAGGCCCAACAGTCACCTTAAATTCAATCAAGATAAAACCTCATGTAGAACCTCGCAGAAATACTCATTCATACATGTATTTATTTGGTGTGTGACTGATGGATGAATGAGGGTCTGTTGTTTGTTTGCTGTTTTCCAGGGATTTGCGGAGAGTGGGCGTGAATCTGGCCGGCCATCAGAAAAAAATCATCACTAGCATTCAGGAGATGAGAGTCCATATGAACAACTCCAACTCTACTGTAAACATGTGATGCATATGTACAGGCAACAAGCACGCATACACACATACACATATACATTCACAACATATATGGACCTAGTGTGTGACGAAAAGACTCCGATTCGCTGTTGGACCTAGAGCAGCTTAGCACTTTCTACGGACAAGGACACCCAGTGATAATGGATTTAAACTGGAGGATCCACGTTTTACTGTGGCTCTTGTGAGTGGAGTTTGCTTGTGGTGTCACGGGGGATATTTGACATTGCAGCGCTAAAACCAAACTGAATGGAACTGAGTGGTGCTTCATGAAGGGAAGACGCCGGTGAGATAAACGAACCGAACTGAATTACACCCGAGTGAAGACTTTTTTGATTCAATTTATTCCATTTGTGTGAATCTTGGGGATTCTAATATCTCGTGCACTGTTTGGATTTTCTCAGATCTGACATGAAGCATGAGACTGTAGATCTGGCTCTGAGAACAACCAGCACGTTCTTGTATTTTTTTTTGGCTGTATCACAAACATGGGAGTTTCATGCAGCCTGTCTCGGGTGATCTGAGCCCAACGGATCTGAGCAGCACTCGCTTCTTCTCTGACAGTTTTCTATGGACGTACAGTTCCATCCTTCTCAGGCAGGGACAACACGTAATAATGGATCAACAACAAAGTTTCACTTTTTTGCTTTAGGCTCACCTTTGGTTTGCAGCTGTAATCGAGCTGTGCAAGGTCCCAGCTCATAATCATTAGATTCTTCATTATCCTCCATGAAAAAAAACGCATTGCATTGTTTAAAGAGGCTGAGATTTATAAATGAAGAAGAAAGTGTAAAAAGATGCCAGGTTTTAGATTATGTGATGCTCTAGGAGCCCGTTTTTCTGGCTGAATGTATAGAACGTTCAGTTGCAGCATCAAACTGTTCTAGTTTGTCATGTAAATGCTGTTAAACACAGATAGAATGTGGCAATCGAACCATTCTGCTCCTTAAAACCAGCCTCTGAATGAATCCGCAGATTGTACGAGAGATTCATCTGACTCTTCTGTCAGGAATCTCCACCAAGACGATGATTGATGAGTTCCTAGAGAATCCCCCCCCCCCCCCCCCCCCCTGTACTTTATATTTCACTCATGGAACCGTCTCTGCTGAGGAGCCTGCTCGCAGATTCAAGCAACATCGAAAAACAGCTTCTCGGAGCAGAACTGTTTAGAGATTCAACTGGATCCATCCATGCGTCCTTCACCCATGTTCTGATGAACTTTCAACGAACCTCTAATGGCAAAATGGGACATGCATACCAAACCGTTACAACAGCTTCCACCAGCCAAGTTGAAGTCCATTGAGATATTCAATCCAGTGGAAAGTTCAGTCCATCCAGACGGTTTGTTCATAAACTGCAGCTGAGATTGTCAAAGCATCGACCAGACTCTAGCTGGACTGTTTACTTATCTTCTTACGGAACCTTCATTTCCTCTGGGATTCCAACTGACGACACTTCAGAGCGCGCACTCAGATGTTCATGAAGCCTTCTCTTAAAAACCAACAACCTTCAGGTACTGCTGAAAAACCCTCAGCTATCTGTTCAGTCCACCACGGCGCAGATTCTCTCTGCCCCTCCCCCCACGCATCCGCCACGCCACAATAAACCTCACTTTAACAGGACTGCTGGAAATAAGGAGGCAATATTGATCAACTTGATAATCATTTATTTATTTATACTTGTTGAAAGAAATGAGCAAAAATGATGTAGACAGCTTGTGTTTCCTCTCTCGGACTACTGAGCAACTCTGCCTACACGTTTTTTTCATGTATATAATGTATTATATATTTAAAGCAGGGAACATCATTCTTCTACGTCTACCATCACGTGGACAGGTCGGTATTGATCGAGCATCTCAGAGTAGTAAACTTTAGTGACAAATATTCAAAATCACGTGATCTGAATGGGTTTGTAGACAGATAAAAATATTATGTTGTCCATGATTGTGTTCAGTTTAAAGTTCGGTGCAAGACCTGGAAATATTTCCAACTGGGCCTAAAAGCAGGAGATGTGCGCACAGGGATTGATATATGAACCTCTGGTGTAAGGGTTAAATTTATACAATGATGTCAATGATCGAGCCCGTGCTTTACCTCTCCTTTTGTGGGGTGTGTTAGACGTTACTACTCAGTGCTTTATCGCTCAATCTTGACCCATTTCACCATCATTGTGTTCACGTAATTCAGGAACCTGAGTTCTGACGGTAGATATATTTATCCTCTTTGCAGATGACATGCTACTATTTTTCTCGGTTGTACACAGTGTACTGCTGGTGCTGTGGCGTAAAGAGTGCAAGTGAAATGAGATTGTTAAAGTTAGTTTTATAAGTGGTGGACTCACCTGACTGTAAGAAAAGCACACAAGAAGAATGTAAGGGGTATTCTGCTTTTTTTTTTTTTTGTCTTTTAAACACTCGGACCTTCATCTGAGTTCAGACAAAGTCGAAGATTACGCACGAAGATTTGACCGGCTCCGTTAAAGAATGCAAGCGGGGAATGGTTGCAATTGATTCTCTACAGGGGGATGTGTTTGTTCGAAATGTTCTAGAAAGTTCGCTTGACAGAAAATATCTGTGTAGTCTCTTCAGTCTGCATTTACCACAATGGAGATTTGGCCCCTAGCTTATTCTATATAGTGGTTTTAATGGTGGGAACCATTAGATCTTTAGAACACCTTTTAAACCACATGGTCCTTTGTTTGGCAGTAAAATACGTTTGTAGAGTATTGCAGCTATGCAGATCTTTACTTTTGCTTGGGGAGGAATGCATCGGTAATACGGTGCACTTTTTATAGTAGACGATATAAGGCATGTACAGTGAAAGTGATTGGGACTGGGTGTGTTAAATTCACCACCCAGCATGTTTGCAAGTGAAGCTTTTGTAGTACACACCTAATACAAATTTCTCTCACAGTGTTTCGATCCCTCTCAAATTTCATATTATTGGCTTTTTACAACCCACCCGTCTCTTTGATTTTTAACCTAAAACCTTTGCCTGGGACATGAACAATTGGTGAATCGTACACCCTTATAAGTGCCTCTCATCTTTCGAGCACCGCTACGTCCTCCCCTGCCAAAATGCTATGCCCCAGTTGTGCCCCGACTTTCTACAGTATATATTTACTTTTTGCCAACAATATCTACAGGCAATAAGAAGAATGTCAGACAATGTGTATGTTGGAACTAATTTAATTTGCACTTTATGAGAAATCTGTTGCCATTTCGTTTGACTAAAATGTCTAAAGGTGACTTACTTTTTAGCATCAAAGTTTTCTTAATAATTTACTGTATAATTGCTATAATTGCTGTGTTCCCTGATGCTGATTATATCGCTACGTAATCTAAATGCTTCCCATAGTTTAAAATTTGACAGCTAAGCACAAGGCATCAGTAATATTTTTACATTTTAACAAATCAAAGCTATATATATATGTGGAGAACGAAAGCATCACTGATGTAGAGCACCGTTTCCTCATGTACGGCACAAATACACCTTCAGAGCGTAAGCACAGAGTTTTACAGGAATCTTTACGGAAGTGAGCAGACGATGTGATTTTGTGCAAGACGTCGATTGCAGTATCCCTCGATGTCAACAAACTTCAGTCAGACATTTTGTCTCAGCAGTATCACAGGTTAGTACAAAAGTCGATAGATGTAGCTGGGAAAAGTATCGTCATTGATTTAAATGATTACTGTCTCATATTTAAAAGCAGCAACAAAGACGGAGGGTTTATTGATGTGATGTTTCTGTACAATGACTCAGCTGGAACTGCATCCACCATGCAGTGAAGTAGATATGATGGAAGCAATTTTGTATTATAATTTCACTTTTTGCTTTAACATTTGAACCAACAACTTTGCTCTTTATAACAGACTTACAGCAGAAGCTAATCTCATTTATTTATATCGACATTTATCAACATACACAGAAGGTTCTTGCATTTTAATTTGTTCACATAGGGGTTCAGTGGAAGTGGCTTCATTATGAAAGCACTGCATTTACTGTTGGTTTGACTGAAGTCAAGCAAATGTACAAAAGCAATACCTGATACCTAATATTAGCAAAAACTCACAAAAGCATGGGAATATAACAGTAATAAACAGTTGCACTGAGGTCTGGATGGTTTTAAGACACAAAATTATGATGGAAAATGTGTTGGTGTCTTTAAACGCTTCAGAAATAAAGCAGAGAAGTGGACGGGGTCAATATCTGGGACCTGGTAACAGCAGTCTGAAAATCACTGACACTGTTTCTGACTGATTGAGCAATTTTATTTGTCAGTTGAATCCTCACAAACCTGAGACAAAGTTAAAGTACAGATAAAATCAATATTGTCAGGAACTGATTTCACATCTGACGTCTTCATCATAGCAACAGCCAATTAGTGGGAAATGTAACAAACCACATTGAAGGGATTTGAATCTCAAAGGCTAATGTCAGATAAAAGATTGATCATATCAGAGACTCCAGGTTTTATATGTTCAGTAACCGTGGTTTTTCTTAAAAGTAAACTTTCAAATGCAGATTTGCAATGGGGGACAAATACAAACGGCCCCGTCCACTTCGCAACTTGATAGTTGACTTCTCAGGAAGTGGAAAAATAGGTACACTCATTGCAACGTGACACACACAAAAAAAAAGTGCAGCTTTCACTCAAAGTGTCAACAGACAGAAGCAGGTTTGCAGTTCTTAGGTTTTCCCCAGGTCAAACGATCGTGTTCTCCATAACTCACACATAAGGTTTTAAACAATTGAATAACTGTTTTGTGATTCATTGAAAGCACAGTAAAAATACTTAACTATCGATGTGCTATTGGTTTGTCTTTGAGACTGTCATGTATTATGTTTGTGTTGATGTTTTTGTAGTGTGTTATCAAAGTCTATATTTTTGCAATAAAACCTTTAAAAAAAATTCTACTCTCGATGTGGATTTAATTGTCTCATTCACAGGTGTTGATTATTGAAGAAGCATGACGGCAAAGAGCTGTTCGACTATCTGTTCAGGACGTATTCAACCATTTTTAGCATGTTAGCTGCCCAAGCAAAGCTAGCATCAACCTATTCGTCCAGATAGAATTGTCTCAACTAAATATTTTTACTAACGGAGGGATTGCTGTTCAAATATCTGCAGACGTTCATGGTCATCAGAGGCTAAATACAGCTATTCGAGCTAATTTGCTCTTGCGACACAGATTTGCAAGTTTAAAGTGAATGGAGTGTACTCTGGTAGTTGCTGCCCCCAGGAAACATCCATATACTTCCACTCTGTAGTCCTCCATGACAAAAGCTTTTATATGTTACTTAACCAACTGCCAAGCACTGTGAGATAAGCTGAGCTCGCCTTCAGCAGAGAAAGTGGTAACTGACCCTGCAGGTCCCACTGGAGCTTTATATGCACTCGCTGCTGAGACAGTTTAGTACTTCAAAGTCGTATAAATACTTACTCTTGTACAGACCAACACTAGCAGCTATGCTAACACACAGGGAATTTTCAGGGCTGCAGTTTTTTTAGTTTTTGCTCTGCTCAGGTGGAGAGAATATATATTCCACTTGGCTCAAAAACCTCGAAGCTCTTCAGCTCCGTCACTTCACAGACCAAATGTACAGGCTGTGAACTTTATAGTTTTCTTCCTTTATTGTCTGAAAAAGATTTGTGATCTGTGTTTCTTTGTCTGCGCTCTCGTCCCCTGCTGGTTTCCACGTAATGAGCTACTTTAGCCAAACAATGTAATTGCTAAAAGATGTTTCCCACCAATGCAATTAGACATGGTTTATTGGTTGAGATACCAATTGTCGGGGTAACAAGGGAGCTAGTTAGCGGTTTCTTCTCTTTGTCCTCATGGAGAGTGAGAGGGAGGAGTAGACGGAGACAGATGGATAAATGAACAGAGACATGTTTTTTGATCTGGAGAGAAAATACGAGAAGAGAAAGTCACCCTAAATAACAGCGTCCCCGTCTTTGTGCTGAGCCGCCTCGTAACACTTTATTGTCAGCAGTGCATCAAGTAGAATATGGTTCATTGGCGGGTTATGAATATAATGAGCGCTGAGGTTTTGTAAAATGCATGATGTTTT